ACAACTGCAACATTTCAAAGCATTGAAATGACCTTTAAATCAAACAATGGTCTGTATTTGCTTTTAAAACCATTGACAGTGAGAACAGTGGAGGGTAGCTGGTAAACATTTTAAATGTTATTTTTCGATTTTCTACGACAAACAGAGACACCTTTTCACGTCTACTGAAGTCAAAATGTGATCATGAGAGGAAGCTTTCTTGTTAATTTGGTGAACTGACCTTTTAAGACAACCCAGAGGGACTTCTTAAAATTTGAGTCTTAGCTGATGGTACCACAGTGGTAAAGGTGCTTTAATGGAGATAGTTGTTTGGCCTTGGTGCCAAATGTAAAAAGCTCCACTAAATGCCACAGGTGGTTAGAACTTCAAAAAGGTACCAAACACGTAGCTGCTGAAGTGGAGGATGTTGCCCTGTGGGCAGTAGTGAAGGATTTTGTTTGTGCCGAGTGTGTTCCAGGTGTGAACATGTGAGTTGTGAAGCAGGCATTTCTGAGAGGAGAGTGTGTGTTCAGTCAACCTGCTGCACCCTGAGTAAACAGAGCTATTGTAGCAAAAGACTTGCTCTGTGTTTCTACTCACAACCTCACTGGGGGGCAGCCACTGCCTGGAGTAATGAGCTGTGCCCTAATGTCAGTGTGTTCTCAACAAATGTTCCATATAAACAAAGTGAGCAGGTGTTTCATGCTACGCTAAGCTTGGATGATAGTCTTAAGTCCTCATAGGTCCACTTGGAGGCAGAGTCCTGTGTCTGAGGAGACTACAACCTGGCAGGAAAACAACATATCATCTCCAAACATGCACATCTACTCAGTCGCTCTACTGACTCCATTTGCTTTGAGTTAACATCAGGCAATGCTCTCACTTGTACAGGAAAGTAATCCATCAGGAGGGGCACAAATTTATCTACAGGAGCCTCAAAGGACCAAAAAAAGATTAAATGAAAGCCTGCAATGTTTTTTATAACTGTTGTTTAACAGGACGCTAATGCACGTTTTCTCTGGTTGTCCAGATGCAGTTTAGTTTAAAGGAACATGCATTAACAGTAAGTCATGATTCATTTAAAAAAAAAACTAATGATGGCCGATCTATGAAAAAAAACTGTAGGCCCACACTGTTTTGCCGACTATCTTCATACTTTAGTTTCAGAAGGTATAAACACAAATAAACCTGTACCTGGGGAAAAAAATTTTCTTCACACTCTCAAGACTGATCTCACAAATCCCCCCAAATTACTGTAACTTGTGTCCCCATGAGGCGTCCAATCCTCTGGTGCTGAGGACCAGCATTTCTGGAGACCCTGGTATTGCTGGATCACGTTGAATAAAACTTAGACGTGGAGCCTGAATCTGAATTCACTGCCGTGTCATTGCTGGGAGCCCACATGAGTCATTCATGGCTTCTGAGTTGTCCTGAGGAGCCGACATTTGTCATGTTTTTTTTTGTTTTGTTTTGTTTTTTTTAATGGCTCTTGAGTAAACAGCTTATTTTCAGTGAATATAAGACATGTAGAAAAAGTGATTTGAATAAAATGTTATGATGCAAATCTTAAATTTGGTTGTTTTTTAAAACAGAATAAGTTCAAGGACTGTCTGAAAGCTAAAAATGTGACGATTTAAAAAATAATCATTTTTATCTCTGATAAATGGCATAATTTTTTTGATATTTGTAATTTTTAATTAAAAACACCCATGACTTTCAAACCCCCCGGGGGGTTTTGAAGTTTATGTGCACGATAAAAGCCTAATTTAACAAACAACCAACACAATTTCAGATGCAAATTCATTTGTACACTGTGATTTTTGACTAACAGTATAATATTAATCTTGTCTATCTTCTAAATAAAATGCAGATGGAAAGAGATGCTCTAATGTATGCAGCACTTTACCATGAGTGTTTTATCATTAGTACCACTGAACAGTCTAGATGTGGTAATAGTAATAGTCTCTAATAGTTTGAGAAGTTTTGGTAAAAGCTGACGACAGCTGAATAAGCTAAACAGATTTTAAACTCACCTTCCACTGGAATATTGCTGCCTCTTCATCTCGTCAATGCCTCTCTAATCAAGCACTTTGCCTTTTGGGAAAGTATCCAGCTCTGTGGGGAGTCAGCGATCAATAGGATTGACAGGCAACTCTAAAGGCTTTCACTGAAGCAGGGAGTCGAGTTAATAGCTGTGCTTGTGAGAGCCACATAAAGTTCAACTATACTGACACCTGGGGACACTAATCAGCTGCCGAGGACTTTTGAAGAGCACTAACTGCTCTATCTTTGAAAAGAATAAAAGAAATCATCCTCTCTGAAGAGGCTCCTTTTTGTAGGAAAAGAATCACCTTCACAGATTTCAAACTATCTGTGGACTGGCTCATCGAAAGCCACCTGGAATCAAAAGCTCATTGCAATCATTTGGTAACCAGCACTGGTTTAAGTGCTGTTGACATCACCTGAGTGATTATGTTTATTTATGACCATTCAATTAATATATGTCAAGGGTGTCTCTGCGGTGCTGGGGCTCTTAGCACAGCCGGTATTAAGTGGACAGAGATTGGCCAGAAGTAATTTGTTCTATTGAGCCAAATAAAGGTGGAGCTGAGGGGCTTATTAGACGGCACAGTCTGAGAAATCAAGGCTCATTTTAATCCCTTCAGAAGAAGCCGGTTGCTCACTTGATGCCATTCATTCTTTTACAATATGAGAAATGGCTTTTACACACTTGAAAATTACCCGTGCTTCTCTATCACAACAAACATGGAGATTTCATTTACTTTAATAATATGCTCAGTTTCACTACACTTACTTGGTTTTGTGACTCAAGAAGAAGTTTTTCACATCAGAAAATGGCTGCTCTGCAAATACTTCAATCCACATTTGACATTTTTAAATGGTAATCATTGTGCAGACACTCATGGATCCATCCAATCCACAGGAAATTGCGTCTTTATTAAAGTTCTGGCCTTGGCAGAGAGCAAAAACGTACTTCATGTGTTACGTCACTCACACACACATGTGATCACACAACAGAAAATGCATGGGAGAGTGTTAAATCAGATTATCACAGAACTAATGAGATAATAATCAGTCAAATCAAAACAATGCTTACCTATCCAGGACTGGACAAATAATACTGTCCTGCATTATATCACCTAGAATTTGTATTTGTCAGTTTGGCAAGCACTTAACATTTAACATTTAATCAGGAACACCAACAACAATTGCTTTTTGACTTGTGAAAACCCCAAATTGATGTATCCA